CTCATAATTATTTTCAGGTCTTTGGCAGATGAATTAAGTAGCTATGAAATTCTAGCTTACCATGAATTTAAAAAAAAATTTCACTGTACTTTAAAAATATTTTTAGTTGTGGATGTACATAATAATTTTATTGTATTTATTTATTTTTATGTGGTGCTGAGGATCAAATCCAGTGCTTCACATGTGCTAGGCAAGCACTCTACCACTGAACTACACCTCCAGCCCAGATATTTACCTATTTTGTGGTGTGTTTTACCTTATTGTTATGGAAGAATGCATCTTTTTTTTTTTAAGCAGAGTTTGTCTTGCAAATCCTCAATATTTCTAATTTAAGGTCTTTGTTAGGCTTTATAAAATTAATTTTCCGGAGTGAATTCATGTTTGTTAATTTTTTTGGAATCATTTCTTAGCATCCAATTTTTTATTTTTTTGGAATTTGGGTTACTAGTAGTTTTGGTTAAAATGTTCCCCCCACTCCCCATTTCTCTCTTTCTCCCATCTTTCCTCGTCTGCTTCTCTGTCCAGCAGTTTTTCAGTTTCCCCTTACACTGTCCTTCTTAAAGGAACCGTGATTTGTAATCAGGCTTTCAGTTGGCTGGTGGAGTTCCTGTGTGATGGTGGGGTACCCAAGAATCAGTGACATGACCTATGGAGAAGTTTGGCTCAGTTCTTACTGCCAAGACTGTGGGTTTTAAAGCTGTCACTCGTGCATACCAACAGGGGTGATGGGGTGTCAATAAGATGAAAATTCTGTCAGAGTGAAAAATCTTAAATATTATAACAGTTTGTGACCCTTCAAAGCACAATCTTACCCCTTAAAAAATCTTACTCCTTAGCATTTAATTTCTCTCATTAGGATATATATGTACACACACACACACACACACACACACACACACACACACACACATATATGTATTTATTTATTGCCTTCCTTCCTTAGGGTATAGTAGTGATAAAAGTTAAAGGGGAGGAAAAGGGAAGTTACTTGGGAATAAGAGTGATCAAATTATGTTATGTGCATGTACAAACATGGCATCATGAATCCACTGTTATGTATAGTTCTAATGCACCAATAAAACAAGGTGAGAAACTCTGCAGAAGTCAGCTGTTTTGTTCAGTATACTTTCATAAGCAGTGAGCCCGATTCCCCATTATCTATGAAAGTTTTAAGCTCTTGGACTCATGAAGAACTGAGCTCTTGGCTACCTAACCTTACTTAGCTGCAGCCTGGCCCTCAGTTCTGCATTTCTGTTCTCTGGAGACATTTACCTCATTTTGGAATATGATACTTCTTTCTCTTTTTGTATTCTATCACATATTGCTTTATATTTTGACCCTAAAAGGGTAATCAAAGCATGAACTCATTGTACTATCTTGACTGGAAATCAATGTTTATTATTTTATTTACCAATTGCTACTTTAATGCCTTCGTCTTTTTCCCCCTTATAACTTTTGAGACTTATAATACAGGAATATCCATCTGTTAGGTGTCAGATACAACCAGTCAGTTATCTGTGCTTTACTGTCTAGCCTAGCATTTTTGGGGTTGCTGAGTAATATTCATCCTTTTTAGAAGGGCCATCTTCAATAGGAGGTTCTGAATTTTTTAAAAAATATTGATTTTTTAGTTGTAGTTGGACATGATACCTTTATTTTATTTATTTTTATGTGGTTCTGGACAGTGAACCCCGGTCCTCCCATGTGCTAGCTGAGTACTCTACCAGGAGGTTATGACTTTTGATGTCCCATTATTTTGCAGCTTGAAATTTAGGGCTGAATTTCTCTATGATACCATTCAAATCATCCATAATTTTCCTCTTTGATAACATTTGCAATTATCATTCAAAATTCTTCTTCCATTGTTCAATCTGGATAGCATGGTATTTTAGCCATTCATGTTTCATCTGGTATTATTGCATAGTGGATAAGGGGAAAGCTACCGTGGGTTCAACCTAACTGGAACATTAATTTACTAGCTGTCTAACTTTGGACAAGTTATTTAATTTCTCCATGTCTAGTTTCCTCATATGTAAAAACGAGTGGATGATAAGAAGAATAGCTCCTACCTCATGAAATTGTATGAAGGATGACATTACATTAATACAGGTAAAACACTAAGAACTGATATAGATAAGCAGTCAATAAACCTTAACTGTAATTGTATTTTTTTCTTCTTCTCTTTTTAGTTGTAGATGGACACAATACCTTATTTTATTTAATTATTTTTATGTGGTGCTGAGAATCAAGCCAAGTGCCACACATGTGCTAGGTCAGTGCCCTACCCTTGAGCTACAACTCTAGTCCCTGTTATTGTATTTTCTGTCACAGTTTATCTCTTATTCTTGAGCCTTTATTTCTGTGAGAGTTCCTTGACTTTAATCTTTATTTTTTTTAACCTTTAATTGAATTTTTACTTTTTATCTTTAATAGAATTTTTACTTTTTGGTTATTTTATTTTTAATTTCCAGAAACGTTTTCTTAACTATTTACTCTTCCTTTTTCATAATTTTATGTTCTTATTTTGTTATACAGTATCTTTTAAAAATTGACTTTATTATTATTTTTTCAAATACACTACAACAGTGGAATGCATTATAATCCTTTTTACACATATAGAGCACAATTTTTCATATCTCTGTATATAAAGTATGTTCATGTCAATTTATGTCATTATACATGTACTTTTTGCATTATAGTTTTTAATATACATATATACTACAATTTTTCATATCTCTGTTTATATATAAAGTATGTTGACACCCAATTCAAGTCTTCATATATGTACTTTGTATAATGATAACCATCACATTCCGCCATCCTTGCTAATCCCCTTCCTCCTCCCTTTCCCTCTTACCCCTCTTCCCTATCTAGAATTAATCTAATCCTCCCATGCTGTCTCTCCCTACCCCACTATAAGTCACCCCCCTTATATCAGAGAAAACATTCAGCATTTGTTTTTTTGGGATTGGCTGACTTCACTTCATCTTCTCCAACGCCATCCATTTACCTGCAAATGGCATGATTTTGTTCTTTTCTAATACTGAGTAATATTCCATTGTGTATAAATGCCACATTTTTTTTATCCATTCATCCACTGAAGGACATCTAGGATGGATCCACAGTTTAGCTATTATTATGAATTGTGCTGCTATAAACATTGATGTGGCTGTGACCCTGTAGTATGCTGTTTTTAAGTCCTTTGGGTATAGTCCGAGAAGAGGATCATACTGTATCTTTATAAGGTCTCTTTAATGTATTAATGGGCTCCATTAATACAAAACATGTTTCTCCCCATGCATCATCTTGATTTTTTCAGAGTTGATTTTTCTTCCATTTATTTTAGATGTTCCCATTTCAAGCACTTGCTCAGAGGTCTGGTGGTACTTGGTTGTTGGTTTATATTAAGAATGAGGTGATTAAAACTAATTAGAAGCCCTGAAGACTTGGGTAAAGCTTGTTGAATGATGGACTTCACTTCTGGATCATTGTACCAGGAAGTCTGTTTGATGGGAGATCACCACATGTCAGTAAGACTTTTCAGTGGAACTTCAGAGAAGAGTTTTTCAATCTCCTAACTTGGTTGCAAATGTTCTAGGGAGCCAAGAAGAAAGATTTGTGGTTGAACGATGCTTTGTGTACGTGTTCAATTAATTTCTGTGAGTTCAGCCTGGAGCCTTGACCTATGCTTGCATAACTTGTGCTCTTGAGTTCTGAGTCTCTCCTTTTAATTTCCCTCAAGAGTGAATCTTGAATCTCCTGTTGCCTTAGGTATTTCCTGGCTAGTGGAGTTCTGAGTGTGGGAAAGGAGGAGGCAGATCAACAGTGGTTATATAAACTTCCAACTTTCCCTTTTTGCTCTTTTCTGCTTCGTGTCTTATTCCTGCCCACTGATGTACTTGAGTGTCTGAGGTTTTTATTGATGGTGAATTGCCTCTCTTAGTTTATCTCTGCCTGTTATCTCCTCTGCACTTCACTCCCAGTAGTTCTGTATCAAAACATTTGGGGTTTTCCTGAAGCAGATTATTAGCACCTCTGTCTATCCCTTAGATTGAATGCACTTGATTGTAAGAAGAGATTCTCTCAAGCTTTAGCAAGTTTTGCAGTGATTAACAAAACAATGGAATTGTTTCTTTTGATCACAGAAATTATCTTGCAAAATTTTTGATTGATTTCACATATTATTCACAATCACTGAGAAAAACATTAGAAAATTTCAGACAAGCAAACATGAAAGGAAAATCATTCATGGTTGTCATCTATTTTGATGTATATTCATCTAGCTCAAAATACATCTATATGTTTATAAATAATGTACATCTATAAAAGTGATTATGCTGTAGTTACTGGTTTGTAACATGTATTTTTCCTCACTTTTAGTACAAGGTAGAATATCCTGGGACAATAGCTACGTCCCTACTATTATCCCAGGAATATGTCCACTTATATTCCATTGTTAACAATTACTTATTTTAGTGTTTAGATTCTTTCCAATGTTCTGCTGTTTTAAACAACATAGATATGAACACACTTGCACATAGTTTTATTTGTTTGGAAGAATTCTAATATTAATGTTCTAGACATTAATGTTAATGTTAGTATAACATTAATGTTCTAGAGCCTTTTAATTATCTCCAATCAGAGAAGAGATAGAAGCTGTGGGAAGGGCTATGGTGATGGTGCCCTGGGAATGCCAGGCATGCCCCAGGGTCTGAGTGGATGCTATCATCTGAAGGAAGAGTCAGAGTTAGCACTAGGGGTTTTGGTAAGATGGATGAACCAAAGAACTCTGAGGTCTCTAAGGAAAAAACTTTGAAGCACAATTTTGTATCCCTAAAAAAGGCTTTTGTGAAATCCTGAAAACTATGGAAGTATATTCCATAGCAATGAGTCTTGCCGTTTAATCCCCCTTAGTCACTAAAACAAAATAAAAAGAAAAACATCTTAAGGTCGAAGTGATTGAATGACTTTATAACACATTATACCCATTACGAATGGAATCAGCTCTATCCCCTTTTATTGCATTAGCTCCAAATGAACGTTTCCAACTTTCCATCAAGTGCTCCGGTGGTCTTCCTTACCCTCTGGTGGAGGTTATGTACAGGGTTGAACTGAGAAGGGAGATGTTTGAAAATCTGAAACAACGAGTCAGCCAGGGAAGAAAATAAAATATGAAAAGCTTCTTGAAGATGAGTCATCAAAAAGATGTTAATTTCAGTGTAATCTGTTTTAGAAAGCTGAGAGCACAGACTGAAGGAGAAGGATTTCCATTCACTATGGTGCATGTCATTAGAGTTTTGGTGCCTGCAAGAGTGTAACCTGTGGTCATCCCGTTGGGTTTCCCCCAAAGGTTTCTGGGTGGCTAAAATGTTATCAGGTGATTGAGGTGGGTTTTTTTTATCCTCCCGGTTTATGGAGCTGACCCTACAAATTGTTTGGTGGGACATGGTGATTCTCACTTACCAATAATGTCATGAACATGACTGAATTGTGTGCAAAGGGGATGGAATGAAAGGTAGGGAAAGCACTTGGAAAAATTACCCAGGTTTAAAGGAACGCACAGAGGTGCCTGGTGCTGAATGAAGGGAACTGATTTCAAGATCGACCCTCCCCCACAGCTCTGGTTGTCACACCTAGCCTGGAATGTGATGGAGGATGATGAGGGAGGAGAGGAAAGAGTGCCTGGGGAGCCCTGTTAGGATGAGGCTCCAAGTGCAAGGTGCTAGGGGTGGAACTTGCTGGTGGTATCCTGTGCCGCCTGTGTAATGGCTGTTCTGTGTGGCACTTCGGTCCTGTAGTTATGTCTGCCCCACAAGGTCCTGCAGCAGGGCCTCAGCAGCCAGCTGAGAAGTTCCTCATCATGCCTAACATGTGAACTTCATCATGGATCATAGCAACTCTGTGAATAGCAAAGCAAGAGAAACCGTGAGGTTACAATGTTTAGTCTAGTCCCCATTCCACAAAAACAAAAACAAAAATAAGCTGAACTATTTAGATTATTGATAAAGATGTGTTTCTTTTTTCCTTGAATTATTCATGGAGAATCATTTTGTGATAATTCACTGAATATGTGAGAGACACCGGCTTAGTTTTTAAAAAGAAAAAAGGAATTTGTAGCTACGTCTCTACTATTATCCCAGGAATATGTCCACTTATATTCCATTGTTAACAATTACTTATTTTAGTGTTTAGATTCTTTCCAATGTTCTGCTGTTTTAAACAACATAGATATGAACACACTTGCACATAGTTTTATTTGTTTGGAAGAATTTTAAAAGATTTATTTGTTTGGAAGAGTTTTAAAAGATAAATTCCAGTAAGATCTCCACTTTTAGTTCATAGGACATCATTCCCTGTTGCTTAGGGCCTCACTAAGTTGCTGAAGCTGGCCTTGAACTTGAGATCCTCCTGCCTTCACTTCCCAAATATACCGATATAAAATATTGGTATATTTTATCTAGGCTTTAGTTCTTTGCTATAAACACAAAATATAACATTTGGTAAATGTTTCAATAGTTTCTGGAAAGATGATTTTTAACAGTTGTGTCCCATTCCCTCATGCAGATATCTTAGAGTTTACTTGACCCCTCTTCTCTTGTGCAGTATTTGAGGAGCTTCCTGTTTATTCATGTAAAGAATCCTGTGAGAAGCATGGTTGGGCCACATCTTCATAGAAGAGAGCCCTGGTTTGTGCAGAGTTTGTCTGGGGTAGCCGTGAGAAGCAGAAGGCCACCATCCAACAACAAGGTGATCTAAAAATCACGTAAGTGGCTGGCACGGTGGCACACGCTATAATCCCAATGGCTTTGGAGGCTGAGGAAGGAGGATAGCAACTTTGAGGCTTCCCTTAGCAATTTAATGAGACTCTGTCTAAAATAAAAAATCAAAAGGTCTGGAGATGTGGTTCAGTGGCTAAGCACCCCTGGGTTCAATCTCTAGAACCAAAAAAAAAAAAAAGGGTGTAAAAGATTCTTTTGAACATGGAACATGGAGGCACAAGATGGAAAAGACCTATTTTCTGACTATAAAAATCTAACAGTACCATGAATACTCAGAGAGGCAAAGTGTACATGAAAGACAATAGCACCAAGTAATAATAAATCCCAGAGAACAGCAGCAAATAATGACATGTTGTGCAGAATTGATCCTAGAGATTGTTAATAGGTTCATTTTCCTTTGCAAGAGCCAAGAATTTGGACCATTGAAGATGAGCTCCAAAGGACAGTTAGATGTGGTATGGATTTATTATAGGTCTGGCTTTAGTTCCTAGTTCTGCTCATGACTAGCAATGTGGATGAGGATTAGTCACTTTCCCTTGTGACCTCTAGTTTTCTCATCTGTAAATGGGAATAACAATACTACTTATGTCACAGAGGATTAAATGGGATGATGAATGACAAGGATTTTCTAATTATTCCATTCCAAAATGGAATAATTCCAGATGGGTTCCTGCATTTTGTGACCTTTTACAGTCACTGTATAATAAAACAATATATGTCATAGGCAGAAAGTGTCTTTGTCCTCCAGTATTTGAAACAACAAAGCAACAAAGAGTTTTGGGGTAGCATTAAAATGTTTAAGAACTTTCAGGTTGTGAAGTGGGAGTGAATCCAAAAGAGAATTTAAAAAGCACATGTACAATGCTGTATCTTATTCTCCCTTGAAAATTGTTTTACATCTAGAATATTTTCAGGTCATTGCTCCAGGGATACTAAATGGCTTGTTGGCAGAACAACAAGAATGTTGGTCTCACAGTGGTCCTGTGTCCTCTGGGGCTGGTGAAGATATGTGCTTAAGCTTGTCCTAGGAGGATGAGTGTTCTCCTAGATAGATGAAGGGTTGTACTTCTTGTCAAAAATCAAATTGCATGAAATTATTCACTCACTGTGCAGCAGAAACTGGAAGCACACATAGAATGGAAAAACAATCTTTCTTTCTTAAGGTCCTATGGAAGAGAGATTCTTTGCAGTCAGAGGGCATAGATGAAAGATTGGATTGGATAGCATGAAGGATGGTAGTCGGCATATGTGGTTGGGTGGGATGGAAATATGGGGCCCATGTTTTAGTCAGGAAAGTTTTGTGTTTAGCGAGGAATTCCTGAGAGAGGGCCTGAGGGAGGTCTCCCAGGGAGCCTTGGTCTGGAGTGTATGCCAGGTCCAAGGTTCTGGGGCTGAGAGTGTATGTGTGAGTGAGCTAGTGGGCATGTGTGTGGGCATGAGTGTATGTGTGAGTGAGCTAGTGGGCATGTGTGTGGGCATGAGTGTATGTATGTGAGAGTGAGAACGTATGAGTGTATGTGTGAGTGTGTGAGTGCATCTGTGAGTAAGTCGTATTTGTTTAGTCAAAAGAAATCGCATATTGGAGACCATTCATAAAGGGCTTCTCCAAGTGTTTAGCTGTGGTTCCTGTACTTTTAACTGACAATGTTCTCTGATACCAGCTTTATTGCATTGGGGAAACTTTCTCTGGGACAGCTGCAAAGAACAGAGTGGAGCCTGGGAAATCTGGAATCAGCCTGCATGGAAGCTTTCCCTGTATGGGCCTGGGCAAGATTCTTAACCTCTGTCTCCCTTAGGTTCCATGTCTCTAGAGGGTGGAGACAAGGATATTCCCTACCTTATAGTGTGGTTGGCAAGGTTAAATAAATGAGTGAATACGTGTAAGGTATTCAGCACATAATAAATGTTAAGTAAAATTCATCTTATTAATGAGTTAAGGCAAACTTCATGCCCTTTCTGGCTGTTACTCCAAAACTATTTATTTGATGTTTTGACTAGTTAAGCCATTTACATCAAAGGTCAAAATTCATAACAACCTGAAAAGTTTCTTCTCACACTTCACAGAAGAAATATAATCAATCAACAAATGCATGAAAAAATGTTCAACATCTCTAGTAATTAGAGAAATGAAAATCAGAACTACTGTAAGACTTTACCTCACTCCAGTCAGAATGGCAGTTATTAAGAATTCAGGCAATAATAAGTGTCGGTGCGGATGTGGGGGAAAAGGCACACTCATACATTGCTGGTGGAACTGCAAATTGGTGCAACCACTCTGGAAAGCAGTATGGGGATTCCTTGGAAAACTTGAAGTGTTACCATCATTTGATCCAATTTTCCCACTCCACAGTTTATACCCAAAGGACTTCAAATCAGCAAACTACAGTGACACAGCCACATCAATGTTTATAGTGATTCAATTCATAATCACTAAGCTATGGAACCAACATAGGTGTACTTCAACAGATGAATGGATAAAGAAAATGTGGGTACATATACACAATGGAGTATTGCTCAGCCATAAAAAAGAATGGAATTATGGCATTTGTCAGTAAATGGATGGAGCTGGAGAATATCATGCTAAGTGAAATAAGCCAATTTCAAAGAACCAAAGGCTGAAAGTTTTCTCTGAAAAGCGGATGCTGATCCATAATGGGGGGGGGGGAGGACTAAGGAAGAATGAAGGAACTTTGGATTGGGCAGAGGGGTGGGAGGGGAGGGGTGGGGCCGTAGGGATGTGGAGGATGGTAGAACGAGACAGGCATTATTACCCTATATACTTGTATGATTACATGACGGGTGTGACTCTGCACCATGTACAGCCAGAGGAATGAGAAGTTGTGCTCCATTTGTGTACAATATGTCAAAATGCATTCTACTGTCATGTATAACTAATTAGAACAAATTTAAAAAGTTTCTTCTCACTCGTGACCACTTGTAGTTCTCACATTCTTATGAATATGTAACCACTGTCATTAGTACCTTGTATAAACTTTTAGAAGTATTTTACATTATGCATGTAGAAGCAAGTACAAATATCCTTATGCAAAGGATTGTGTGTGAGCATGCGTATGTAGTTTCTGTACTTTTTCTTTTTAAAATTAAAAGATATGGAACTCTTTCTATATCAGTATAGAATGAATGTTCTCACTAATTTTTAAAGCTGCATAGTATTCCATTGTTTGGATATATCATAATTTACCTGCTCATCTTGATGGATATTTAGGGTGCAGTTTCTTGAAAACTATCTGACATGCTGTTTTTAAAGCCCAAATATGGGGCAAATACCTTTGCATGAAATACTTCTAGAAAATGTATCCATGTACTAGGAAGGAGAGTGGGGAAGGTTCTTGGATTCTCTCTTTTTCTGCTCTCCTTGTGAGAGTCAATAAACAATATTCATTGAGAGGGTCTAATGAGAATTGGGTTTTATACCATCAACCTTCATTTATTCATATTGGTATCCGTTTCTACCATAGCCAATGGGTACTAGAAAACAGTCCCTAAGGACTGACTAACATGGACAATCCTGTCAGGTCCTTTCTCAGCCAAGTGTCAGCTCGCCAGTAGAGGGCTCTCTCCTTTTGGGAAAATATCAACGTCTCTGGGAAAGATTTTAAACTTAATATCTAGGCACCAAAATGTGGTGTTTCTCTATAGTTGATTGGTGTGTCATTCTCTTGAATACTTGGGGATTAGCTGACTGGGGTGTTCATCTAATTTTTGGGTGTGTTTATATGTGGAAGAAAGTCTAGCACTCCCTAGAGGATTTAGAGGAAGGCCCATGATAGGATCCAGATCAGGGGATTATGATTTTTTCCTTTTTAAAGAGGTGAGGCATCCTGGCTTTGCCTTGTGTTTTTTCAAGATTAGAAACGACACATGCATATACTGGGTTATATTAGATTGTACTCCTTGGGATATCCTTGTGAGGCCTGTTAACAGGTCATTTAACCCCCATTTACAAGCCTCTGTTTATATAACCCGGGGTGACTACTCTGGGAGGTTAAAGCTTTCACCCAGCCAGGTGAAAATCCCTCATCATTTCAGAGGGGAATAGGGAGGGGCTGATATTAATTTAGCATCTCTTGAGGTGGTTTGGTGAGGCTGGGCCACTGTGTTCATTTTTATTCATTCTGGTGGACTCTTCCTGCTCTTCCCTTCCCAAACATTGCAGGTGAGGAAGCTACAGCTCAAGAAGATGCTTTCTATTACTCAAAGTCACACAGGAAGTAACAGTTGCTTTGGAATTTATTGCTTTTCTGGAGCTTCCTCCCTGCAGGGCTTAACCCTGATCTGAGAAGGTCAAGGTCACTGACTCAGCCCTAGTGAGGAAGTTTCTCCTTGACTTCAGACCTCTGGCTCAGTTTGAGAAGTGATGCAAATCTTTTTTTTTTTTTTTTTCAGGAAAAAGATAGAATGATGTCTGTGATTTTGTTTTCTTTTATTTAGAGTACACGTAGACTAATATTGAGTGAGCTCTAAAGATATGGAAAACACAAGGCAAACCGAATGTAGAACCTGCTTTCTGGAAACGAGCCTACTTGGAGCCCTGAGTCATTAGTGCAGGTGCACAGAACACCTGCATGCTGGCCTGTCTTTGTCCTCCAGCGAGAGGGAATGGAAGGCCTCAGCCTGGAGAGCATCATCCGGGTCAAAGCTGACCTCTCTGTCTTATTTTGGATTAAGAAAGCAGCAGTCTAGAAGACAGAGAAAAGGTGAGGCTAGCTGTGGAGATGCTAGTCAAATGAACCCTACTGGTAATCTTAACAGGGTTTCATATAATTTTGCACAAGCAGGGCACAGACTAATGGGAACTGACTAGGTATAGGTAATTTAGATAACCATTTCCATTCTTTTTAAGCTCAGAAACACTTGTTACACTGCTTTTAAATTCAGTCTTCATAGGCTACCTTATAGGGTTTTCTTTTTTTTTTTTTTGGCACGGATTACCTCATTTCCATTTACAGTGTTACACACCTGTTAAACATGTGCCAATAATTTTTTTTTTGTTCAAATATCTCTAGAGTCACAACAAAGTTATGTGTAAGTTTCTAACTGAAAAGCAATTATTTGAGGAATGGAGGTTAAGAAAGAGTTACAACTACCCATTCCTGAAACTTTAAGGATCCACATCGATGGCTTAGTTCAATGGTTCTCAAATTAAAACTTGCATCAGGATCACCTGTGAAAGGTTTTAAACTTAACATCCAGGCAGAAACCCAGTGATAGCAGAAACACAGAGTTCTAGGCCCACTCCTGAGCTTCTGATTCTTTAAGGTTGGGGTGGGCCCTGAACTTTTAACAAGTTTTCTAGGGGATGATGATTATGATGTTACTGGTCTTGGGATCATACTTTGAGAATTACTGACATAGTTCCTGGAAGATTGAGAAACTCAAGATAATAGAAAAATTATTACTTCTTCCCTACCTGCTCTTCCTTTAGTTGGGAGGAGAAAGCAGTGGTTTAGAGGGAAAACTTTGGATGCAGACAGAATTCCATTTAAATTTTTCCTTCAACATTTTTGACTATGTGATCTGGGTCAAATTTATTTTACTTCTTAGTACTTCAGTTTTCTCATCTGAAAATGGGGATAGTATCTTTTCGTTCATAGAGTTGTGAGTAATGAGGCAATATATGTAATTGGCATATATAGTATATTACACTGACATGCAGTATATTTATAAGTGAGGCTTTAAAAAGCTCTTATTTTGAAAAAGTTTTTGTTTACCTTTGAAGTAGTTTATTAAGGTTACCAAAAATAGAACCACAATAAAAAGAAATATAAGGCATAGTTACTTTAAATGATTGAGAGGTAGTATTTTTTTTGCAATACAAAAATATTTGCACTAGTGAAGTACAGCTTCAGCATCACCAATCATTATTATTAACTGAGGTCAGATAAAATCCCAAACCACTGCACACATCAATGCTGATGGGGAAAAAGTCAGAACAGAGATTACAAAAAGGCATGGATTAGTAGCTGTTGAAAATGTGAAACTTAAAATCTTCCCAGCTATGGGAACAGGCAAGGCTAATATAACAAAATTTGGTCTTGAAACTTTCACCCCTTGCAAAATTGCCTCTCTTACTAGCCTGCCAGGGTAATGGAAATTCCCATTCCTCTGGTTTAAGGCCACGTGTGTCTCTAGAATGCAAATTGTATTTTCTAAGACTAATAGAGCATTAATCCAATAATACTCAATAACTCTTTCAGATTAGATTATGTGAGATTAGCTAGGTGTTACCTTGGAAAATGCACTGCCTTGCCCTGAGGGAATAGGACACAGAAGCGGCTGATTCAAAGGAAAGATCTGAAGCGTGGGGCTCAGTGGGAACTCTGGGAAGCCCAGGGCACTGGGGGGCAGGAGAGAACTGCTGGTAAGGACGTACCTTGTAGCTGTTGCTCACTCTGCCAGGGAGAATTCCAGTGAGACTTCCTGTTCCCTGCAACCTTAGGTTGCACACAGCTTACTCTAAAGTTGTGCTCTGAAAGCAGTTTGCCTTTTGCATTGACACCAGGGTAGATGACTTTGGCTGCAAAGTTTTAGTAGTTTCTGTGTGCCATCTCTAGGCCCCTCTCCCCATTTTCAGTGTAGAGAGCTACTTGTCCTGAAAAAAGACAAAACATGGCTCTAGTTGTTAGAGTTAAGCCTGGCTTTGGGGCATGTGGGTAGAGATAACCTAGGGAGTTCTTCCCCTTCTCGATTTGTATGGATGACTAAGTTACCTGAAGCAAACATTACATAAGCCTTATCCCAATATCATGGGAAACCCTGAGACAACAGAAAGACGATGAAGAGCAAGCTATGACTTTGTTTCATTTTAATAGTTTGTGCTGACTGAGAATCTTAAAACAAATCCCACTGAACATTGCTAGTGACATTTTCCTGGCTCACCTATCAGATGGATTACTGCAAGAGGCCTGCTTCCTACTTCAACAGCAGTACATGGGGTTTGTCTGACCCTGTGATGGAGGCACCATGCATCCCACATCACCTTGTAAAGTAGGAGGCTCCAAGTGTCATTTTGTAGTTTCCTTCAGGTCCTTGGGCTTTGCTGCAGGCTGTTATAACTGCCAGCGTTCCTTGTTCTTTCTGCAACTCTGGGCATCAGGTGGCCTTCCACTTTGAATCTAAAGTAAGCAAACGTCCACCTGCAATGGCTTGTGACAGCACAATGAGGTCAGATGGGTTGGTTGATGGAACAAAGGATAAGGAAATGGATGAGTTGGGGTCCAGCTGGTCTGGTTTTAGACTTCAGCCCTGCCCTGACCTCCTTTGGCAAATGAAAGGCATGAAAGGTAGTGGCTAGTGCCCTTAGCCACATCGGCTCTATGGTTAGAGAATGAGCCAGTGCTGTGCCTTGTGGAGGAGATGTGATGGGCAGGGGGATGGTAAAAGAGGATGTGCTGGGACTATTCACAAGGCTAAGTGTTGCAAGGCTATGTATGTATTAGGAAAATGTTTATATGAAGTATGGGGGAATTCAAATAAAAAACAAAAACAAAACAAAACAAAACAAAAACACAAAAGAGTAAGAGGATAGGAGAAACTGAGGAGATTGAGTGATCCATTTAATAGCTCCTTTGTACTACTGTACTGTATTATTTATTTATTTAATTTTAAAAATTGTGTAACTTTAAAGTGTATGACATGATGTTTAGTTACACATATACATAGTGATTACCACTGTCAAGCAAAGGAACATATTCATCATCTCACATAATCTCCTTTCCTTTTTTTCTTTTGTGGTAAGAGAACATAAAATCTAATGTCTTTGCAATTTTCCAGTTTTTAATGTAATATTGGCTGTAGTCCTTATGTTGTACTTTAAATCTCTAGACTTATTCATTCTACAAACTGCAACTTTGTACCGAAGTTCCCTTTTTCCTTGTTTTTTATGGTACTCTCTGTTCCTATGCATTGGATTTTGTATTTACTGAGCTTCCACACGTAAGTGAGATGTGCAGTATTTTTCTTTCTGTGCCTGGCTTGTTTCACTTAGCACAGCATGCTCTAGAGACATCCATGTTGTTGGAAATGGCAGAGTCTCCAGCACTACAGTGTTCAGATCCAAGAGTCCTATCAGTGCTTCCTAGAAGGAACTTTCCTAAACTCAGGTCTGTCAGAGAAGCCGGTGGTAAACCCTGGAAGGACTCCGGGCTGTGGAGTTAGAGTTGGAGGTTACAGCTAGCAGCCTACGAGGCTCATTCCAGGCTTGTAAGATGAACCTTGCTAAGCACTTTCGTAGGTAATTCTAAAGATGACTTTATAGCTACCACTCCTCTTTGGGAATGGATACTTTTGGTGCCTGGAGTTACTGCAGGAATGACTGTGTAGGACTCTCTTGGGAAAATCTTCTAAAGAGGCTGAAGGCAGTTTGGTTGAAGCCTTCAGGCACTGTTTGGATGAACTCTTTCCGTGAAGAGAAGGGTCAGACGGAATGTTATTGTGCCTGATTAATTCTCCTTCCAGAAGAAATCTTATTCTTTTAAAGTAGAAAAGTTCATGGTTTGTCAGTAGAAACATGTTCTACAAATTGTGCAGAAGGAAAAGGTCACTGAAATAGCTTTCTATGTGCTTTTTAGAGTCAGAAGTTTTGCTGAAGACATAGGTTGAATACATGAGGATTGGGGAAAGTTTTCAATAGAATTATATATATTTTTAATGAGAAGAAAGGGATCATGCCAAATCCAAATGCTATCCTTTCCTGCTATGTTATCCTCCCCAGAGACCACCTACCTCATTAATCTTTCTCTCCCTCTTATTATTATTATAAGCATTACTCCTCACAGGATTACTATGATTGACTATTTTACAGATGAAGTTTAGGGAAGTATCTTGTCCAAGGTGTCACTGCAAAGAAGTATTAGAAGATTCCTTGGCACTACCTTAAGCCCTCCTTTACATTCCTTTGGTTTTGACTTCCACTCCCTTCTACTTTCTCTGGCTCTTACCAGCATGAACTTAAGGCAAACCTCTTGCAGGCTGCTATGATTCTCCCAGACTTCTGTTTTCATACATTGTACTTGCCCTCTGCTACTGCAGGAGAAAAGCAACTTCTCTCCAACTGTTTTGTGGCCTTCTTCTCTGAGACTTGGTTTCCCCATCTGGAAAAGGGGAATGATTGCCAGGTACCATCTTGCTTTTTGCCCTGTGTCTTTCACCTCAAGGCATTTAATAATAAACCCTTGATCTATTTTAGTTTCCATCTTTCTTGATGTTGTCCCTAGAAACAGAAATCTTTAAAAGAATAAATGATCAGTAGATGCTTTTTTAAAATCTAGTCCACCTGGTCAGACACTTGAGCCTCCTCATATTTTTGCCTTCATGTGCCAATGTCCATCCTCGCTCTCCATTGTTCCTGGTCCCAGAACCACCATGCTACTCTCTCCCACCCAGTGCTGCAGACTGAGCCCGGGTTCTGCACATTAAGCACAAACTCTACCACTGAGCTATGCCCCCAGCCCCACCTCAGTGCTTGTGATGCCATTGGTTCTGAGGTCTTTCCCTTCTTCCTGCTACACCCCTCACTTCCTGTGTCTTCCAGGTTTACCTCCATGCCATTAGGCTATGCCTTCCATGCTGCCATAGCCAGGGCTGACTGGAGTAATACCTGCTCTGCGCAGCTGGGGATCATAGTAAGCATCAAAAGATGATTTTCATGATGAAAGTGCTTTGAAAAGAAAGATGGTCTGCATTCTCTTGGGCTATGATGATGATGATTATCACTCCTGGACTGTTTTCAGATGACTAAAAATATCCACCCAGTCTGGACCTTCTCAGCATATTCTTATCTCTCTTGGATTTCCCCACACTGGCTGAGAACCTGACAGTTTAAGCAACTGAAGAACTTGCTGGTAGAGAGACTGTTGGGGGTGGAGAATGCCTGGGTAATGAATTACCTTCTTTAGGGCCCCAACGGGAAATCTGGTACCCTGGAAAGCATTAATTTACTTCACTTGAGTGAATGCTTTAGCCCCAGTGAGCATTTCATTTGCCCAGGCAACCCATCGCGATGATGACATTAAATAATCATTATCATTACGTGGAAATCCTGTCACCTTGGGGATTCAGAAAGTGCCTCTCAAGTCACATGCATATCAGCGACCCAAATGAGCAGGATGCTCATCTAGAAGAAAGTATTTGTGAGGAAAACATTTGTTTGTAATTGTCAGCATTTGGCAAAGGCAGGGAATGGAAGAATGAAATGAACCACAGCTTTGGATTCTTTCCAGTGTTTTTTCCAATCCCAAATCTCCAGAGACTAGGGAGGGAAGCCTTCCTGTTGTGGACCGAGGGCTCTAGGGAGGAGAGCCGGAGCCTTCAACTCTCTCCCCCTCCATCCAGGCAGTCATTTCAAAGGAAGCTGTCTCCAGGGATAAGCAAGAGCCCATTGGCCAATATTTATTTATAGCTTTATACCCTGTAAACTTGTCTTCTTTTTCAAAATTAAGAACAAAAAAGGATTTTGGTTCTTGTTTGCTTGGACCACCTCCAGGCAGTCATATCTGTTTTCTTTATTTCTACGCTGGTTGCTCAACATCTTTGGTCTTTATTGAATTGGTTTCATTCCTAGGTCCTCCCTTATTATTAATGTTCTTATTACTGGTTAGTTCTTCTTGTTTTGGTGTCCTTGACAATCTTTTATATTAGTCGTTCTTTACAATAGCTCAGTGAGGTGAATCAGCCTTACTGAATACTTATCCAACAAATTGTCCAACGTTTTCTTTTGTTGGCTTTCTTTAGGATTTATTGTAACCATCCTCACCACCACTCCCCACCTCCCGCCCCCTAATTTTTGATAGTCGTGCTTCTACAGGGAAAGCCAAAGGCTTGTATCATCTGCTTTCAATTCGTGTTTGGTTTCTTCTTCTCCTTTCTGGCATTCTCATCCTCCTCAAAGTTATTGTTGCTTCTCTTCTTCATGCAATTGATCCTCAACTAATCTAAGGCAGGTGTGAGCAGAGGGCTTCGTTTTTGCTTTCTTGGCATTTGGGTGCATGTGTAAGTGGCCACAGGCTGTCAGTTCTTCAGCACATGGTTTGTTACCAAAGAGACAGTCACTGCTAACATTTTGTGGTTGTGTTGCTGTGACTGGATGTACATTGGCTCTATAGTGAACCGCTGGAATGTCAGGCTGGGAGTTGGTACTAAAACAGGAAAGGGCACCAATCCTGATCCACTAAGTCTTCTGAAACTCAGCATCATTGCTACCTCCCCTGTCAGCAGTCTTCTGCCACAGTACTACTACCTTCAGTCTTTCTTGCCGTTACCATCAAAAACATTTTATTATATTTCCATCTATACACATATTCTGAGACATAGGATATCTAGGAACTTATAAGCAAATAGGATCCCCTGATATCACTTTAAACTTTGAATTCTTGATATAACTATTTTTCTTCTTCTGTCTACCACTCTATCTTTAAGTTTCTCCATTGCAGTTATATCTATTGAAATTATCATTGACTTATTTTTATCATCCATTCAACTCTGAATTTCTTGAGGTCATATTCTGTATCTTATTCTTCATCTACCGAGTACTATGCAAGGCACCAGGGATACCTATAGGGATGGGGTGGAGTGGGGTGAGTGAATAGTCAATAAGCATTTATTGACTGGGTTTTTTATATTGAATGTTCTTTTAAATTAATGAGAAAATGCTTTTACAAACTATAAAATGTTTTATAAATCAATAAAAATACAACTTGTTTTTACTATAATTGCATTATTTTGTCTATACAATGAAGGATAGATTTGAATCCTGTTAAACTGGACAAGAAATACTCTCCACTCTATAGAACAAGAATAATGACAATTACATTGAAGTTTCATTTAAAAAAATCAGCTGGGTTGTTTTGACTTGTTTTTATGTGGGGCTTGCCTGGACACCTATGGGGATTGAGAGAGCCCAGTAATGGGTAGAAGGATAACATCTAAGTATCTTTAAACTTTATTTTTAAGCTGGATATGGTGGCATGCACCCATACTCTTAGCTACTCAGGAGACTGAGGAAGAATTGCTTGAGCCCAGGAGTTCAGGCAACATAGCAAGACCCCATTTAAAAAAAAATAATAAAAAACCTCTGATGCCTCAGTGGGTATTTTTGGAATATGTCCTAAGTAAGATTGGATTCTGGATGTAGGTGGTTAAGGAAAGCTATGTGTTTTTCTGTGCTGTACCAGATTTATGCTAATGAAATGAGTTGCCAGATCAATTCTGTAGTTAGCAGTTTGAAAATGGTTCCGGGCTCCAGAGCTCCATACACGATCCCTGCCCCATAGAACTTCAAAGAAG